TGCTGCTTGGCCTGCTGTGTTCATCCAGCCCTGCACCTTGTTGTCTCTGAAATAGTTGGATTGTTTTATGAGGACAGATTGAGGAAACTAGATCTGCAATCCTTACAGTATCAAAGAATGAGAAATGATCTCATTGCAGCATATAACATTTTTCCCAGCTAGTAATTCTAAAAACAGGGGACAAAGTCTCAGGATAAAAGGCAGGTTATTTAATATTGAGAATCTTTGTAATTCTCTACCTATAAACACTATGGGATATGGAGATTCTGCAGGAAAGTGCCAGGAGGAAGAATTTCAATTTGATTTAATTGAATAGCTGGATGGTCTTGATGAACTGGATGGTCTATTTCTCTTCCTGTGTTCCTAAATCTCCTCTGCACTTGTTGGTTCTAACAGTGTTCTGAAAATATTTGTGTTTTCCCAGTGTATTTGAAAAAAGATTGTACTACATGTTTCCCAAATTGTTGTATTTAGATGCTCATATTAGACCACTGCTATCAGGCTTGTAGAATATCTCCTGCTTTCCATTCGTTCCCTACCATCTATCTCAATTTCACTGAATGGATTCATATGGGAATCAGCTTAAAATTCATGGAAATGTTTTAAGAAGTCAAAACGGCAATACTTACCCATTGGTTGTGCGTCACTGGGAATCTTGAATACTTTATTGTTGACTTTCACTTCCCCAGTCCTGTATTCTGCTCCTGATAGTTGTAAATCTTTACACAGTTTTGTTAAGATCTGGGAAGGCTTCAGGCAGTCACGCCATGCATTGTAACCTTGTCTACAAATCAAGCAGGACAAAATACAATCAAACCAGATAGGTGCTTACATCACCGTTTAAAAAAATCATTTCTGACATGTGGGCATCTTTGACTAGGCCAGCATTTATGCCCATCTCTAACTGCCCGTGATAGTTAAGAATCAACCATATAGTTGTAAGTCCGCAGTCACATGTAGGACAGACCAGGTAAGGACTCTAGTTTCTTGGTCGCCATTCAGCTAATTTTTTATTGAAAAAGAACTTCACCATGTGCCGTGGCAGGATTTGAAACTATATCTCCAGAACATTAACTTGGGAGTCTAAACTACTACTCCAGTGACATTACCAATACAGCATCGCCTCCTGAAGCCAATTTAACTTAACAGGTTGAGGATCCCTATTAATTGCATAACAACCATAAGTGTCTAAAGTGGGATCACTATAGGTCAACATGGGTAGTCAAGTTTAGTTTGAATAAAAATCATTTTCATGATTTGCAAGATAAAGAAAGCCATTTCTTGCAACAAACACAGAGAATGCTGGAGAAACTCAGCAGTTCTGACAACATCTATGGAGAAACAGAATTAACGTTTCTGATCCATTATGACTCTTCCTCAGAGTTCTCTGTCTTTATTTCAGATTTCCAGCATTCACAATATTTTGCTGTAATTTAACATGATTTACTGCAGCCATTTCATATTCTGATTCTTTTCTTAATAAAAACCAAAAGAACTGCAGATGCATTAATAGAGGGATTGAGTTCGAGAGCCGTGAAGTTATGCTCCAGCTATACAAAAGCCTGGTTTGGCCACATCTGCAGTATTGTGTCCAGTTTTGGTCGCCTTATTACAGGAAAGATGTGGAAGCATTGGAAAAGGTGCTGAGGAGATTTACCAGGATGTTGCCTGGAATGGAGGGAAGGTCTTACGAGGAAAGGTTGAGAGAGCTAGGGCTTTTCTCTTTAGAACGACGAAGGATGAGAGGTGACTTGATAGAGGTGTACAAAATGATTAGAGGTATAGATAGGGTAGACAGCCAGAGACTTTTTCCTAGGGTGGAGGTAGCTATTACGAGGAGGCATAGTTTTAAAGTGAGTGGAGGTAGATATAGGGGAGACTTCAGAGGTAGGTTCTTTACTCAGAGAGTGGTCGGGGCATGGAATGCATTGCCGGAGAGGGTAGTGGAGTCGGCCTCATTAGGGGCATTTAAGCGGCTATTAGATAGGCATATGGATGATAGTATAAGGTAGGGGTGGAGGTTAGATAGACCTTAGGATTAGGGTAAAAGTTCAGCACAACATCATGGGCCAAAGGGCCTGCACTGTGCTGTACTGTTCTATGTTCTATGTTCTATGCTGTAAATCAGAAACAAAAACAGAAATTGCTGGAAAAGATCAACAGGTCTGGCAGCGTGTGAGAAGAGAAATCAGAGTTAACATCTTGGGCCCAGTGAAAGGGTTCTGAGGAAAGGTCACTAGACCGTAAACATTAACTCTGATTTCTCTTCACAGATGCTGCCAGACTTGCTGAGCTTTTCGAGCAATTTCTGTTTTTGTTTCTGATTTTTTTCTTTGTGTCTATATAATGATTTCATATGAAAATCCAGAAAGGAAACAAATAATTGTTATGCCTTGATTAATTTATAATTTGTGAACTAATGTAACAATTATTGAAAAGACTCAATAATACCTTACAAATCTAATGTTTCCAGAGACAACAAAACCAGGAGAATTGAACTCCCTCTAATTTTGATAAGCTACAGAGCCTCAAAACCTTGTTCAAAAATAAGGCTTATGGTTTAATCCAATCAAAAAGGCCAAAACGTTTTTATTTTGTGGGCTATGGTTTGAAAGTGAGATATAACAGATAGTGCTTTCAAAAAGAGAAAACGTACAAGGACTTATTTGTAGCTTTGTAAAAGCAAGTGAGACTAACTATTGCTTATGAAACAATGTCACTTTTGGGGATGTTGTGCCCAGATCAATTGGCATAACCAGGGTATGTTTAGGGTATTTCTGCCCACAAGCAGTCTTTGATTTTTCAGTTGACACCAGTTGTTGTGCGTTCAGGACAGCACAGCACAATAACAATCGTCTGATAGGACCAGCTGCAGTTTAACACAGGTCCTGTAAGGAGGAATGAAGACAGAAGAAAAAAGAAGCCCCACAAGCTTGCAGCATCAACATCTCTCACCCTTTCCCCTTGTCCTTAAAAACTGCCCTCTCCAATTCTATATCGAAAGAGCAGGGGAACCAACATTCAAAGTTTCAGAAAGGAAAATAAAGGTGAAGTCTACAGGAAAAGAAATATGCCTGGATCGAGCCAAGCAATCAGTGAAATCATTTGTCTGCTTAGGAATCAGCTTTCTTTTTTATTCACTTGTGGGACATGAGCGTAGCTGGCTGACCAGCATTTATTGCCCGTCCCTAGATGGTGGGGGTGAGCTGCCTTCCTGAACCGCTGCAGTCCATGTGCCATAGGAAGACCCACAATACCGTTAGAGAGGCAACTCCAGGATTTTGAGCCAGGAACAGTGAAGGAACAGCAGTATATTTCAAAGTCAGGATGATGAGTGGCTTGGAGGAGAACTTGTAGATGGCAGTGTTCCTTTGTATCTGCTAACCTTGTCCTTCTAGCCTATTGATGAGGGTAGTGCAGTTGATGTGGTTCATGTGGACTTCAGTAAGGCCTTTGACAAGGTCCCACATAAAAGCTGGTCCAAAAGGTAAGAGCCCATGGGATCCAAGGCAAATTAGCAAATTGGATCCAAAATTAGCTTACAAATAAGAGACAAAGGATGATTGTGGAGAGTTGTTTTTGTAATTGGAAGCTTGTGACCAGCAGAGTAACACAGGATCAGTGCTAGGACCCTTGCTGTTTCTTATGTACATTAACGACTTGGATGTGAATATGGAAAGTTTAATTAGTAAGTTTGCAGATGACATGAAAATTGGTGAGATTGTTGATAGCGAGGAGGATGGTCTCAAACTACGGTCTAAAACTGATCAGCTGGTAAATTGGACAGAGCAACGGCAGATTGAATTTAATCGCAGTAAGTGGGAGGTCTAATAAGGGAAGGACATACACAATGAATGGTAGGTCCCTAGGGAGTACTGAGGTACAAGAAGATAGATCCATGAAAGTGTCCGCGCAGTTAGACAGGGTGGTGAAGAAGGTATTTGGATGCTTGCCTTCATTAGCCAGGGTATACAATATAGGTGCAAGGAAGTCTTATTACAATTTTATAAAGCTCTGGTTATGTAACAGATTAAATAATGTGTGCAGTCTAGTTGTCACACTATCAGAAGGATGTGATTGCACTGGAGAGTGCGGAGGAAATTCACCAGGCTTGGAATTGAAAGTCTCAGTTATGAGAAGAGAATGTATAGGTGAGGTTTATTTTCCTTGGACCAGAGGAGGCCGGGGGTGGGGATCTGATTGAGGTATACAAAATTACGATTGGCACAGACAGATAGATTGTGAGAACTCTCCCCCATGGACGATGTGTCTAAGACCAGATGGCACAATTTTATGGTGAGGAGTAAGTGATTTAGAGGAGATCTGAGACTTTTTTTCACTCAGCGGGTGGTACAAATATGGAACATGCTGTCTGAGAGGGCGGTGGGGGCAGATACTCTCACAACATTTAAGAAACATCTGAATGAGCATTTAAAATGCCCGGGCATATTGGGCTATGGACCAAATGCAGGTAAAGGGGTTTGGTGTTCATTGGTCAGCATAGGTTTGGTGGACTGAAGGGTCTGTTTCTATGCTATATGATTCTATGACTCTAAAGTATGATCATCACCAATAACATTGAGGCATTATCAAAGAAAGCAAAAGGACCTGTGGAACCATTCCATCTCATTTTGTGATTTTGGACTGACGATACAGTACTGTGTTCCTATGATTATTATAGCTTCCACTTCACTGATAATACTTGTCTTTGTTTGTTTCTTGTGTCTGCATGTGTCTTTGTATGTGTCCATGTTTATGTGTGTATTAATGCATGTTAAATTACATTTATTAGAAATCTGGCACCTCTTATCGTTCTTCTTAAAATTAAGAGTTGTTATAAATAAAACTATATTTTCTTTGCAATAAAAAATTGATGTGCATATTCTTTTAACTTGAATTTCAGAGTTTGGTAGAATTGGGCAATTCAGTGATTTAATTAAAAGTTTGTACTTGTGACAATGCTGGGAATAGTGTGTTTTGATTTCCAGTGCACCATCCCTAGCGGGTAATGACAAAGTTTGAGGGCACTTCGGCTGGAATTTTGGAACATAAACTATGTAAGATTGGGTTTGGAGTTAGAGTAAGTGATTAAGGATAAAAGATAAACACCAGATTTTGTACTTGAAAGAGTATAAATAAGATGGCACGAGGAGCTTCAAAAGCCTTTCTGCAGCGGAAGAGCTACCAAAATTAATGTGCCAGCGATCCAAAAGCTAAGTTCTGAACTGGTGAGTAAATTAGAAGTGGAATAGTCTCCAGGCTAAAAAGGAGAAATAATTGAAAGGCAAGTACAGTATTTGGTTTTATAGGGTTACAAGAGAGACCAGGTACTCCGAGTATTGAGACATTGGAATCAGTTCATACTGTTTTAGTTAAAGCAGCTTGAGCGTGATAAATGAGAACATAGAACATAGAACAGTACAGCACAGTACAGGCCCTTCGGCCCACGATGTTGTGCCAAACTATTATCCTACTAAGATCAAACTACCGTGCATACCCTACATTTTACTATCCTCTATGTGCCTATCCAAGAGTCGCTTAAAAGTCTCTAAAGTATCTGACTCCACTACCACTACCAGCAGCGCATTCCACACGCCCACCACTCTCTGTGTGAAGAACCTACCTCTGACATCTCCCCTATACCTTCCTCCAATCATCTTAAAACTATGCCTTCTCGTAATAGTCATTTCTGCCCTGGGAAAAAGTCTCTGACTATCCACTCTATCTATGCCTCTCATCATCTTGTACCCCTCTTTCAAGTCACCTCTCATCCTTCTTTGTTCCAATGAAAAAAGCCCTAGCTCCCTCAACCTTTCCTCATAAGACCTGCCCTCCAGTCCAGGCAGCATCCTGGTAAATCTCCTCTGCACCCTCTCTAAAGCTTCCACATCCTTCCTATAATGAGGTGACCAGAACTGAACACAATATTCCAGGTCTAACCGGGGTTTTATAGAGCTGCAGCATAACCTCGCGGCTCTTAAACTCAATTCTCCTGCCAATGAAAGCCAACACACCATACGCCTTTTTTACAACCCTATCAACTTGGATAGCAACTTTGAGGGATCTATGGACGTGGACCCCAAGATCCCTCTGTTCCTCCACACTGCTGAGAATCCTGCCATTAACCCTGTATTCTGCATTCAAATTCGACCTTCCAAAATGAATCACTTCACGCTTTTCTGGGTTGAATTCATTCTGCCACTTCTTTGCCCAGCTCTGCGTCCTGTCAATGACCCGTTGCAACCTACAACAGCCCTCCACACTGTCCACAACTCCACCAATCTTCATGTCATCGGCAAACTTACTAACCCACCCTTCCATTTCCTCATCCAAGTCATTTATAAAGATCACAAACAGCAGAGGTCCCAGAACAGATCCCTGCAGAACACAACTGGTCACCGAGCTCCAGGCTGAATGCTTTCCATCTACTACCACCTTCTGTCTTCTATTGGACAGCCCGTTTTGTATCCAGACAGCCAAATTTCCCTGAATTCCATGCCTCCTTACTTTCTGAATGAGCCTACCATGTGGAACCTTATCGAATGCCTTGCTAAAATCCATATACACCACATCCACTGCTCTACCTTCATTGATGTGTTTTGTCACATTCTCAAAGAATTCAATAAGGCTTGTGAGGCATGACCTGCCCTTCACAAAGCCATGCTGACTATTTCTAATCAAACTGAGCTTTTCCAAATAATCATAAATACTATCTATCAGAATCCTCTCCAATAATTTGCCCACCACAGAAGTAAGACTGACTGGTCTGTAATTCCCAGGATTATCCCTATTCCCTTTCTTGAACAAGGGAATGACATCTGCCACCCTCCAGTCATCTGGTACTACCCCAGTGGACAGTGAGGATACAAAGATCGTTGCCAAAGGGGCAGCAATCTCTTCCCTTGCTTCCCGTAGAAACCTTGGGTATATCCCGTCTGGCCCAGGGGACTTATCTATCCTCATGTTTTTCAAAATCGACCTGTTCGAGCATATCTGCCTGTTTCATGCTGTCGTCACAAATGTCAAGGTCCCTCTAACTGGTGAATACTGAAGCAAAAATGAAGAAGGTAGAGGTAGCAGGGAAAGACTCGGAAAGTGAATTGAAATTAGAACGATAGAAACGGAAATGAGAAGGCTGAAACTTTCAGCATTCACTCCATCAAGTCCCCTCAGGATCTTTATATGTTTCAATAAGATCACCTATCATTCCTCTAAATTTCAACAGATGTCAGCCCAACCTGCTCAATCAGTCCTCACAAGATAATGCCCCTCATGCAGAACTGGTTGAGTGAACCTTCTCTGAACTATTTTTAAGGCAAATATATTATTGTATTTTTCAAATAAGGAGACTAAAACTGTACAAAATACTTCAGATGTGTTCTCACCAACACTCTGTACAACTGTAGCAAAACTTCCAACTTATACATTTCATTTTCGATTCTGACCTCTCTCTCTGCAGCTGCTCTGCAGCTGTAACACTAGATTCTGCACTTTGTTCTGCTACCCTGATGTACTTTGTATGGTGCCATCTACCTGTATAGCACGTAAAATCACACATTTCACTGTATTTTGGTACATGTGACAGCAATAAATCAATTGGTCCTTTGCAATAAATAACAATACTTCATTTGCCTTCCTAATCACTTGTTGTACCTGCATAGTTACTTTGTGATTCATGAACCCGGATTTGTTTGTACCTCAGAATTCTGCAATCTCTCTCTCGCTCTCTATTGAATAATATACTTTTTTTAACTCAACTGTCAAAGTGGACAAGTTTACATTTTCTCATTTTATTCCATCTGCCAAATATTTTTCTGTATCTTTATCCTATCTGTATCTATTTGCAGACTCTTTCAGTCCCCTGGATAACTTACAAACATAGGAAAATGGTTGTAGTTGTATCAGGTCAGTCATCTAAGTGGGTGTACGACAGAGGGTCTGTATGTGTGTGTTTGTGTAAGTGTCTGTCTGTGCGCGTGTCTGTGTGTGTGTGAGAGGGGGGACTTTCTTACAAGGAAAGGTTGTGAAGTTTGAGCTTGTACTCATTGGAGTTTAGAAAAATGAGGGGAGACCTTACGAAACATATAAGGTTCTTATGGGGCTTGACAGGATAGATGTGGAGAGATTATGTTCCCTTGAGGAACAGTGTGGGGCCAGAGGGCATAATCTCAGTACAAGGGGTTGCCCATTTAAGACAGAGATGAGGAGAAATTTCTTCAGTGGAATTCTTTCTGACAGTGGGGTACGGAGGCTGGGTCATTAAGTATTTTTAAAGCTGACTTGGACAGATTTTTAATCAGGAAGAGAATCAAGGGTTACGAGGATGAGGCAGGAAAGTGGAGCTAAGGATTATCAGATCAGACATGATCTCATTGAATTGTGAAGACTGACCTCGAAGGGTACTTACGCCTCATATTGCGTTGGCAATCCACACTGAGCTCGATGTTTACTGTAGTATCGATTCTCTAGATCAAGCTTAGTTTCACCAATCAAATCATCTGTTCCAACCATATCATGATCAAATATCGAAACAGTGAGCTCTGTCTCCATCGGAAATTCAACAGTCATTTCAAACACTCTGAGAAAATTAAACAACAAAATGTTTATTAATAAAGGAATTGAAGATTTCCATACACTTTATAACTAAGGAATTAAAGTATTTGCAATGTTAAAGTATTTGCAATTACTTGTATTGAACAGGCAGGTGTGTTCAGTTGAAACCAGAATACCATTAATACTGTAGGGCTCTTCTGGCATACTGATATTGTCCCCACTCCTGGACCGGAGGTCTGAGCTCAAGTCCCACTGGCTCCAGAGGTGTGTAATTACATCTCTGAGCAATCACCAGACCAGGATGTTCCCTCCCAGCCGGGGAACACTTCAGGGGTCAAGGACATTCGGCCTTGGATCTTCGGGTAAACATCCTCCAAAGCGGACTTCAGGAAACACAACAACAGAGTCTCCGAGCAGAGGCTGATAGCCAGGTTCAGTTCCCATGAGGACGGCCTCAACCGGGATCATGGGTTTATGTCGCACTACAGGTTACACCACTACACACACACACACTCTCTCTCTCCCTCTCTCCCAAACACACTGTCTCTCCCACATACACACGCTGTCTCTCTTTCTCATCTTCTCCCCCCACCACACACACACTCACACTCACGTGAATCTATGGGGTGAATCTGTATTTGCAGATATATTCTACTTTGTTCAAAAATCATGCAATTTATAGATACACAGTCAATTTGGCATTTTATAAATTCCTATTTTAGAAATACACCTGAAGAAGGAGTAGACTCCAAAAGCTGGAGCCACAGTGTGGAGCTGGAGGAACACAGCAGGTCAGGCAGCATCAGAGAAGCAGGAACGCTGACGTTTCAGGTCGGGGGCTAGTGTGTTCAAATTAACCTGTTGGACTATAACCTGGTGCCGTCTGATTTCTGACCAGGTTGATTGGGAAAATAACTTCTACTAATATCTTAGGGCTCACTAAAATTATCTCCATTACTGTCTTTAAAATGCAATCTATTTTCATTCGGTGGTACTTAATGGAGTGTTTACAATTTGAGATTCATAAAAATGTCAAACTGACAACTTAATCATGTCATTTCTTTTGAGCAGACCGCAGTGATCTTTACCTTCTTGGTCATAAACATAGATAAGTTTATCTATGGAGCTGCTTCTACAGAGATCAAAATACTCAATTACTAAACTCACATAACAAAAACTTTGACAAGCTACAGAACAGCTCATTTCCTTTTGAACAGCAAGTGACACACTTGTACATCAAGCACATTAACGGGCTGATGGGGCTGCCTGAGGGAAACGTCAGGTTATTCTGAATAGAGTAGCATTGTCAACCAATATCAGCAATTAATCCTTTCAAGTGATTTATTTTCCCAAATGTTTTGTTCCTAATCAGTCTGTTTTCATGTATCTGTACTTTGTGCATTTTTCTATTTTCATGTAGTCTTTTGCAGAAGCCATTTTCAGGCCCTTTCCTTAAGCGAGTTATTAGTATGGTAAGAAATTCTGGGCAGAGAAACTGCATAACTTATGAACAAAACAACTTCTTTTTGATCCAGTTTCCAGAAGTTTACTGTATTAGCTTTGATAATGACAGATTTGCATTAAATACTCACTCTCCAAAGACAGGGTTTAGTTGTTTGGTGATGTACCGCTCCTTACTGTCCTGGACTTGTTCACCAACTTTAACAACTATGTAGGGATCGGATTTTCCATTTAAATCAGTGGGAGCAAGATTAGTTGCCTTGGAAGAAAAGAGTTGTTAATTTGGAAAATCACAGAAGTTTAACAAAAATATTCATAGGATTTTGTTTTTTAAATTCTGTGCCCAGGAGTAGAGTATGACCCTACCTGAGATTTTAGAAAATAGACATGAGGCTGAGATAGCCATATCAACATCCTAAACATAACTCCAGGATTCCTGGGAAATCCCTTTGAGATTACAGCTTGAAGATGCAATGACAAGGACAGAATCACACTTAAGCCTACTGCCTCTTTCAAGGGTCACTGAGCACCCAGATATTGAAATGCTGGTGATTAGACTTTTTACCAGGATGACAGTCCAGTTCACACAGAATATTGGAAAGGCTCAAGACTTCATGGGATGCTTAGGCAATCATTCTTGGTTCCCTCCTTCCAACAAGAATCTTCTTCTTGATTCAGAACCCTCAAGCTGTTGATCTAGACTAGGCGAGAGAAGTTAACCGTTCTCCAAGTTCATCAGACCCTAGCTCCAGCATTAGGTCCTGCCAGGAACTGAGATTGCCACTGAGGGAGCAAATGACCTAGAGCAACAAATTAAAGATTCCAGATTCTTGCTGTTCTGTGGCTAGTCAGAAGGATCCCAGAAAATAATGGGTTGGATTTTCTGAGGAGTGGCAATCTCACAGATTTACAGTCCATCCTTGTTTTTTACAAAAGGGGAGAACACCACATTTGGTAGTAAACGGTAACGGAACAGTTCGAGGGAAAGACAGTCTAGTTTGCAGCCAAGATCATGAGTCCCAGATGGTCTGTTTTGTCCTGGGTGCAATACTTCAGTACGTAATGGAATGGCTGGATAAAACTCTGGAAAGGGAAGGTTAGGGTTAGGGTTAGGGTTAGGGTTAGGGTTTGGTAGTTAACTGGTGGTAGCTGTTCATGTGGGAATCAATGACACAAAGTGGAACAGCTTAGAGATCTTGCAGGGTCAGTTTCAGGTGTTAGGGAATATGTTGAAATGCAGGATTCCCCAGGGCAGTAATCTCAGAAATACTACCTATGCCACGAGCTTCACCATTAAGGCAAAGGCAGATCAGGGAGGTAAGTGCGTGACTTGAGGATAGTATGGAAGGGATGGGTTTAGACTTTTGGGACTTTGGGATCACTTTTGGGAAAGGAGAAAGCTGTTCAGAAGACAAAAACAAAAACAGAAATTTTTGGAAAAACTCAGCAGGTCTGGCAGCGTCAGTCGAGAGAAATCAGAGTTAACATTTCGGGTCAAGTGACCATCTTCAGACGTTCAGAAGGGTAAGCTGCTCACATGGCTGTTCTGAGGAAGGGTCATCGGACCCGAAACGTTAACTTTGTTTTCTCCTTCACAGATGCTGCCAGAACTGCTGAGCCTTTCCAGCAACTTTGTTTTTGTTCATAGATGGGCATTTCTCAGATTGAAGACGAGTTGAAAGTGGTGGTCCCCATGGATCAGTGATGGGACCCTTGCTCTTTCTGATTTATGTAGCAATTTGAAGATGGCTGTTGAGAGCAAAATCTCTAAATTTGCAGCTGATACTAAGCTAGGGAGAATAGTGAATTGTGAGGGTGAGGCTGAGTGACTTCAGAGGGACATTGAGGAATTGGCCAACTGGGCATACACCTGGCGGATGAATTTCAATGCAGAGAAATATGAGATAAAGCATTTTGGTAGAAGAAACATGGAGAGACATTACAGGCTCAATGGTACAACTTTGACAGGAGTACAGGAGCAGATTGATCTCAGGGTACACGTGTGTGATTCTCTGAATGTGGCCAGGCAAGTTTAAACATTTGTTCAGAAGATTTAAAAGGATCATTGGGTTTATAAATAGAGGCATAAAGTATAAAAGTAAGGAAGTGATGCTACACCTCTCCAAATCATTGGTCAGATCACATTTGGAGTATTGTGTTCAGTTCTGGGCACCTTATTTAAAGAAGACTGTTAAAGTCCTAAAGAAAATGCAGAGGAGATTTACTAGAATGATACCAGGGATGAGGGATTTTAGATACAAGGAAAGATTAGAGTGATTGGGTATATTCTCCTTGGAGCAGAGAAGATTAAGAGGTGATTTTATTGAGGTGTTCAAAATTATGAACAATATTGACAGGGTAAAGAAGGATACTCTATTTCCACTAGTTGACATATCAGTCATGAAGGATCACAAATTTAAGATTGTCAGCAAGAGAGTGAGGAGTGAGATGAGGAGAAACTTGTTTACTCGGAGACTTGTTCGGATTTGGAATGCGCTGCCTGGGAGAGTGGTGGAGGTGGATTCCATAGGAGGTTTCAAAAGAGAGCAGGATACATATTTGAAAGTGATAACCTTAGAGGTGCTCTGGAGTTAGGGCTGGAAAATGGGACTAACTGGGTAGCTCTTTCAGAAGCACAATTGGCAATGGGCTCTTCTTTTACTGTAAAATTCTATGATTTTATGATTTCTTTCCAAACAATTGGTCTTTTTTGATTGCTGTGAGAAGGGTACTTGGTTTGCCTTCCTCTCACAGATATGTGCTATCAGAGAATGGACAAAATGGAAATAATGCTTCAACAATTTGGATTCAACAATTTCCATCCTCTCAGATCTGTCACAGCACAGGACTGTGACAGGAAGTCAAATAAAGTCTGCTTTTCACAGAAATCAGCTGCTGTACTCTGATATTTACAGCTTTGACAGCTGCTATCGAATGATAAACATATAAGGTGTGAGGGCTCTTGTGGCAAAGTGATAGTGTCCATACCTCTGAGCCATGAGCACTCAGTTCAAGTCCTACCTGCGCCAGAGGTGTGTTATAACATCTCTGAGCAGGTCGACTAAAATACCCATAAGGTAAGTGTGAGGTTAGGGTGCTGGCAGGGTAGGATGCCAGATGAATATGTAAAAAGGTAAAGTCACCATAGACTTATGAGACCATAGGCCTGTTCTCTTAATAGAGAGAGATGACTGGTGGTGGTTTAACCTGAGGGTAACCATGCCTCAGGTAAGGGGTAAAGTTGAGAAGGAGAGTTCATCATGGTAACTTTAGTCAGTGTGGGAGTTGGACCCACATTGTTGGCATTATTCTGCATTGCAAACCAGCCATCCAGCCAACTGAGCTAAGTGACACCCAAGATGAGTAGGAGATGGTTAAGGAGTCCTGAAAGTATGGTGGTAGCTGGGTAGGTAGTAGGATGTAAGGTGGAAAAGGGCAGGTACGTGACAGGAGCTCAGAGTGGGTGGAAGCTGTATGGTCTGGGGAGAATGCATCATGTCCTAAGGATGGGCAGGCCAAAGGGAGATTGAGTCCAGAGTGAGACAAGAGGATGGTGAGTCTGGAGTGAGGGTAGGTTGGAGAAGGTGCCATCCCATGAGGGGTGAATAGGCGTTGGGTCTGGAGGGGATGGCGCCCTTGGGGTGTCAAGGTATGGTCTGACAGAGGTAAATATGGGGACAGTTTAATACTTACTCAAGAGTTAGGCTATGTATTTAATAGTCAAACTTGTCATAGAGTCATACAGCAAAGAAACAGGCTATTCGGCCTACAATGCTAACCAACAAACACCAAACCACACTCATCCCATTTACCCCCACTTGGTCAATAACCTACTGTGCCCTAACATTTTAAGTGCTCATCCAGATGGTCCTTAAATGGTATGAGAGTATCTGAATCCACCACCTTCTCAGGCAGGACGTTCCATACTTCAACCACTTTAAACCATTTACTCCTCGCCATAAACATATGTCCTCTAGTCTCAGAATTTTGTATCCCTCATTCAGATCCCCCCTCAGCCTCCTCTGCTCCAGGGAAAACAAACCCAGCCTATCCTATAACTGAGACTTTTCATCCCAGGCAACATCCTGGTGAATCTCCTCTGTACCCTTTCCAGTACAATCACATCCTTCTGATAGTATGGTGACCAGAAATACAAACATTATTTCACCTGTGGCCTAACCAATGTTTTAAAAAGTTGTCAAAAGGCTTCCCTGCTTCTAGATTTACGCCTCAGCCATTAAGCTCATCAGAACCCTCCAAAAACTCTAACTAAAATGGAGATAACACAGTGTGGAGCTGGAGGAACACAGCAGGCCAGGCAGCATCAGAGGAGCAGGAAAGTTGACATTTCGTGTTGGGGCCCTTCTTCTGAAGACTCCGGCATTGGCAGTTCTTGCAATCTCTAATTAAAAATGGATATTTTCAGACGGTTTCAAGTGTGGACGGTTTGTCTAATGGGAAATTCAATTTCCTGGGAATTTCTTAGACTATGCTATGATAGGGAATTCCACAGAGTCCAACACTGGAATAATGGCTATCTGGCTAGCAAAAATTCCAGGCCAAGCTCTAAGGATTATTTCTACATATTGTAGATTTTCAATGAGATTCCGACTTTCTGCACCGTGGATGATATTTAATGGAAATGGTGGTAGTTTTACCCACTGGCAAGAGTCTTGTATCTTCACTTTCAGGAAAAGCATATCACTGGACTGTGGTGGGCTTCCCCAGGAATAGAAGTTCCCTGCCAAGAACTGCTGACCACTTAGTCATGTTATTTTTCATTATTCATTCACAGGATGTGTGCAGCACTGACCCGGCCAGCACTTTTTATTGCCCATCCCTAACTGACAGTTAAGAGTAAACCACATTGCTGTGGGTCTGGAGTCACATGTAGGCCAGACCAGTTAAGGATGGCAGATTTCAGACAGCAGTATCAGTAGCTCCACCCAGGAGGCGATGCCTGCTACTAGTATGACATTAGCCTGAGGCTTCATATAATTGCCAGATCCCAAGGCCACAGATGAGGATGGCAGGACAGATCTTAGGCTAGGGGTAATGGGGAAAGTAGCAGTAGGAGTTGGAAGGTGTGGCTAAATCAGGCTCTGAGTACCATTGAATGAGAAGGCCCTTCTCCCAAAAACAAGCAGCTCTAATGAGGTTTACATCTTGGGTTTCCTTGTGGTAAGCCCCCCACTGGCACTGAGATAATACCAGTTGCACAGGTGAGTCACAGACATGAGTATAAACTGTCAAGGATATAATGTTAGTCAGGGTTCCCACCTACCACTCTCCCACTCAATCAAATTACCCCTGTTACTAAACACACTAAACGGAAGCCTTTAAACTCCACCCTTTCTTTCTTAAAGCTTCTTTGGAAAAATAAATATATTCAGAGTTAGATTAAAGAGGCTCCATTTCATTCATTAGTCTAACACATTATATTGTGGCCATGCAAATTTGTAAAATCCAGTGAGAAGTTGTACTCACTTTCACCACATAAACCCTGACAAGAACTTTGATTGGTCTGTTCTTTGGGATACCCTGTAATATCTTAAAATCAGCTTCCGCTTCATCATTTGGGTAGATTCGGAAGGAGCCCTAAATAAAAACAAAAACAAAATTAGATAAATCCAAATATACCCCAACTTGAGCTTCCACCCATCCCTGCCAGTCTGATAAACCAAAACTCAAATATCAAAGCCCCAAGCCAAGAAACCCCAGCACTTTTTTTTTCTTTACTTTTTCATGGCTTGTGGCCAGCACAACATTAATGCCCATCCCTAACTGCCCTTGAAATGGCTGTCTTGACCATTTCAGGGGACAGTTAAGGAATAGGTACGTTAAAGTTATTGAGAAGATTTATAGCTCAGGTTGTGGATGAGGTTGTAGGCTTCCTCGCTGAGTCGGTGTGTTTGGTTTCAGATGTTTCGTCACTTGCTAGGTAACATCATCAGTGCGCCTCCAGTGAAGCGTTGGTGTTCTGTCCTGCTTGTTATTTATCTGCCTCGGTTTGCTGGGGTGGTTGGTATTACTCCCAGTTCTGTTTCTCAGTGGTTTGTATATCGGGTCCAGTTCAATGTGTTTGTTGACGGAGTTCCGATCAGAATGCCAGGCCTCCACAAATTCCCTGGAATGTCTCTGTTTGGCTTGTGCTATTATGGATGTGTTGTCCCAGTCAAATTTGTGTCCTTTATTGTCCATTTGTATTGAGACCAGTGAGAATTGGTCGTGTCTCTTGGTGGCTAGTTGGTGTTTGTGTATCCTTATTGTCAGTTTTCTTCCAGTTTGGCCTGTGTAATGTTTCTCACAGTCCTTGCATGGTATTTAGTATATTACATTGGTATTATTGGTTGTGGAAAGGGATCCTTTACATTCGTCAGTAGCTGTCGCAGGGTGGTTGTTGGTTTGTGGCCTACCCTGATACCTAAGAATCTTTGTAGTATTGTGGTCATCTCTGATATGTCCCTGATGTATGGCAGGGTGACTGGTGTGTCTGGCCTTGTTGTATCTTCTTGTTGTGGTTTGTCATGGAGGTAACAGCAGATTGTGCTTTTTGGGTATCCATTCCTTTTAAAAACTCCCTATAAGTGCTCCTGTTCTGCTTTGTGCAATTCCGGGTTGTTGCAGTGTGTTGTGGCTCATTTAAATAATTCCTGATGCAGCTCCGTTTATGGGTGTTGGGAGGTTGTTGGTGTAATTAAGTATCTGGTCCATATGTGTGGTCTTTCTGTGTACACTAGTCTGGCGTTCCCTGTTGTTCTTACGTTACACCATTACATCCAGGAAGGGCAGTTGGTTATTGTTCTCTTCTTCTTTTGTGAATTTTATTCTGGTGAGGACGTGGTTTATGTGTCAGTGGGTTTCTTCTAGTCTTGTGCGTTTGACAACGCACTTCTTCAATGACTGTATATTGAAACAAATCAACGGAACACCAATGGGATCCCCAATATTAGGACTGATAGCAGAAGCAGTAATGCAAAGGTTAGAACAGACAGCGCTGCCCACTATACAACCCAAACTCTGGGTCCAACATGTAGATGACACCTTCGTGATTATCAAATGCACAAGACTAGCTTTTGTTGTTGCACTGGTTCTTTCTTATGTACAATTTTAAGGTTGAAAAAAGGAGCAGTTACTTTTAAAGATAATTTTTGATTGGGTGTTTATTTTTAAGTACATTTCTAGACTTGCCATTTTACTATGTGTTGGGCACACTGGGTGAGGGCATGGAGGGTGAAGGACAGACCATGGAAGAAGCATGTGGGCATGTGATGGGTACGTGAGTAATATCTTTTAATGTATCTTTGAAAAAATTTCTGAGTCCAGACTAAGGTTCACGGCTCTTCAAAGGGGTCCTGAACCACGTTTTTCCTGGGCTATGAAAATTTGCATGCTGTCGGGGGAATGAGATTAAACCCCTGAGACAGAACCAGCCAGTTGGAAGTGTAGGCCATAGGTTCACAGCCTGCACCCTTATCCCACACAGATGAAAACTGCCATCGCCAGGAATGGGGACAGAAATAGAATCCTGGAATAGATTTTGCCTGCCATTTTGAGAGGCCTTTGGAGTTGGCTTAATCCCAGGAAAATACAACCTATTATCTCAAAATAAAAGGACAGTAACTTCAGGCTGAGATGAGGGGAATTTTTTTTTTTCACAGAGGCTTGCGAATCTTTGAAATACTCTACTTCAGAAAGCAGTTGATGCTCAATAACTGAGTGTATTCAAGGCCGAGATTAATGCATTGTTGGACTACAGAATCTAGGGATTCGAGAGTTGGAAAGGAGAGTGAAGCTGGGGTCAGGAATCAGCCACAAAAAGATCAGGCTTGAAGGAACAAATGCCTTATGCCTGCTCCTACTCCTTTTGGCTTAAGCAAATTGTTACATAAGAGCCTATTTGACGTTGAAGAATACGATTGGAGTTTAAACTTTATGCACTTTGTCATTGATTTTACTAGAGATAGACATGACAAACATGAACATACGAACTCAATAATCACAAGTGATTCTCCAGTTAGTAGCCAGGGCCTCAGCAAGTTGCTAAATTACTAAACAATTAACAAAGCTGACCTTGTATTTGCCCATAGTTCGATCATCAACTTTATCTCCAAATTCATTTCCATTGGCTTTACCTCGGTACAGTGGGAAGATATAGAGCCAATCTTCAAAGTTAGAGAATTCTATCTCTAGTTCTGAGTTGAAAATCTGCAACAATACAGAAGGAATTGTTTACCGCTCCATACATTCGCTGTAATGAAGGAAAGTCTGGATAGGTAAAGAGTTTTTGGCTTCAATAAAACTGAGTTAAATAACTACCATAAGCTTATAGTCATGATCTGCATCTTCTGTAAACTTTCAGCCTAGATTGTCTGGTGCTAATGCTACCAAATTCAAGTTACATTATGTAAAATAAAATTAGTGCATGTTGGAAATAATCATTTCGTCTGGCAGCATCTGAAGAGAGAGACTGTCAGAGATAACATCAGAGATAACTGAGACATCAAGCTGACGATCTTTTGGCAGAATCTCTCGTTATGGATTCACCGATTCACAATTCATTGTCCTCAACATTGTCTATTGCTGTTTAGAGAGAGTCATCTCATTCACCCTACAAAAGATTCAAATAGAATTTAATTTTTTACTCTCCCACCCAACGTGAATTGTTTTCTGATACATAGGATTTCTGCACATCTTGGAAATGACAGGCATTTCTCATTTAGCACATTATTTTGGGAGATTTTAGGAGAACATCTGCCTTCTGAGTGCTTCCTCATTTTTCTTCCTATACTCATCCTGCACCCCATTAATATCAGCCCCCAGAAAGCAACATGATCTCCACTCCTCAGAAAACTACTCTAACACATTTTCTCCTCTAAGTGCACAGCTGCGGAGTTTCGACAATTTAGATTAGTGTAGGTAAATAAACACACAAGGGAGAGAATAGGGGAGTAAAACAGAGGAATCTAAAGAAGGATTTTAAAGATGAAGCAGTTAATGAATGAATGGAGGTCTAATAAATAATTAAGGTGAATGAAAGGTTTTCCAATTGAAGTGGCTAAGGGGGAGGGTTACAGACTGGCTGAAGAATGAAGTGTTCAGAAAGTCCTGGGTTCAAGAGAACTGCACAAAGAGAGATTTATAAACAGCATCAGGAACCAATGTAGGCTCATCAGGATAAGACGATGCACATGAGGCAGGATATGGCTTCAGAATTTAGGTTGAGTCCTGATGAAGGGTATAAACCTGAAACGTTGAATTTCCTACTCCGCTGATGCTGTCTGACTGGCTGTGTTCCTCCAGCTCCACACTGTGTTGACTCTGACTCCAGCATCTGCAGTTTTTGCTATCTCCGAGTGTCTGAAACAGTGTCGCCTGGTTCTAGACTCCTCACAAGTGGAAAGATCTTCTCAGTATCCACCCTGTCCAGACTCCTCAAAATCTTATTTCAAAAGATCACCTCTCATTTTCTCGACTCCATGTGCACCATCTGATGTGTTAAACCTTTCCAACAACCTCTTCATCCCAGGAATCAGCCTAATTAACCCTCTCTGAACTGTTTCAAATTTAAGAGAACAGTATATCCTCTCGTACGTAGTGAGACTAAAATTGCACACCATACCCTAGATGTGATCTCAGCTACATCCCGTACTGCTGCTGAAAGACTTTCTTTCTTTTATATACTGTTCATCTTGCAATACAGGCCAATATCTGACTGAATTCTGAACCATTTGCTGTACCTGCATGCTAACTTGTGTTTCATGTACGAGTACATCCAGAGACCACTGTACTCATTATTCTGCAGACTCTCTCCATTGAATTATTCTGCTTCTCTATCCATCTTGCCAAAGAGGACAATCTCACATATTCCTACACTATATTCCAACTGCCAAACTTAATCTTTCTATATCCCTTTGTAGATCCTTTGTATTCTCCTTGCAACTTATTTCCCTACTTTTGTATCATCAGCAAATTTTACTAAACACAGTGGGTTTAAAAGTTGTTCAAGTACCACTTGAAGGTTTGAGTACAAAAATGAAGGCTAACACACCAGGGCAGTACTGAGGGATTGCTGCACTAGTGGACAGTCATTACTGAGGAATGCCACACTATCAGAGGGTCAGTACTGAGGGAATTCTGCACTGTCAGAGGGTCAATATTGAGGGACCACCACTCTGTTTGTTGAGGAAGCACAGCACTGTCAGAGAGTCAGCGCTGAGTAGATGCCGCACTGTTGGAAGATCAGTACTGAGGGAGCACTGCACCGTTAATAGGTCAGTGATTAGGGGCAGCCGCACTGTTGGAGATCAATGCTGAGGGAATGCCACATCACCAAAGGGTTAGTACTGAGGAGTGCAGCATTGTCAGAGGGTCAGTACTCAGAGAGTGCACACTGTCAGAGGGTCAGTCCTGAGGGACCGTCGCACTGTCAGAGGATCAATACTGAGTGAGTGGGGCACTGTCAGAAGTTCAATACAGAGGGAGCACCGCATTGTTGGAGGGTCAGTACTGAGGGAGTGCCGCACTGTTGATGTGATATTGAAGTTGGTCCTACCTACCTGCTCTATTGGATATAAAGGTTTCAAAGGTCACGATTTTGAAGAAGAATTATGGGAGTTACGCCTCTCATCCTGGTCAATATTTATTCCTCAATCAATATCACAAAGACACATTATCTGGTCATAGGAACAGAGGTAGGCCAATTAGTGGTTTAGTACAGGACTTGAATATTGCCAAAAAGACATATTTTGTTGGAACTTTTCACCTTGTACTCATCAGTGTGATTTGCAAGAATGCCAATTTCAGGGAAAACCAACATTTATAATTCATTTCTGGAGAGTGCTGACAACCAACTTAGGATTGTCAGTGAGGCTTGCAGTGTCGTGAATGTGTGTACTTCAAGACTCCCCATCTCTCCCTAATGAAAACATCTTCTCAACATCAATCCTGTTAAGCACCCTCAAAATTTTCAATGTTTCAATAAGATCACTCCTCACTCTTCTGAATTCTAATGACAAAAGGCCTAACCTGTTTAACACAGTGTGGAGCTGAAGGAACACAGCAGGTCAGGCAGCATCAGAGGAACAGGAAAACTGACATTTCAGGTCAGGCACCTTTTTTTGACCATTTTTTCTGAAGAAGGGTCCCAACTCAAAACATCAGCTTTCCTGCTCCTCTGATGCTGCCTGACCTGCTGTGTTCCTCCAGCTCTACACTGTGTTATCTCTGACTACTGCATTGGCAGTTCTTACTATCCCTAACCTGTTTAGTTGTTGTTGATAAGTCATCTCAAAGTCCCAGGGAACAACGTAGTCACTCTCTTTTGAACAGCCTTTAATTCCAGTATATCCTTTCTTAAATAAGGGGAGCAAAACCAGACACAGTATTCCAGGTACGGCCTCATCAACGTCACACACAATCGTAACAAGATTTCCTTATTTTTAAACTCCTAAACCCTAGCAATAAAGATCAAAATTTTACATGCCTTCCTAGTTCCTTGCTGCACCTGCATGTTAATATTTTGCATTTCATGCAAAGGGAGATGGTGATGTAACAGTAATGTCATTGGACTTATAATTCAGAAGCATAGGCTAATGTTCTGGGGACATGGGTTCAAATTCTACCATGGCAAATCCATCAGAACCAGAATCACTTGGGGTGAACCGCCATCCACATTCTGTCTGCAGGTTTGTGAAGAGGTCTGTATTTCTCATTAGAATTCCATTTCTCATAAAGTAGCATTCCAGCACTCCATCGGATACAGCTTCTGTTTGAGTTGATTGGGCTACTTTACTTAACTCTGGTTCAGCTTGCTAAGCCTCAATCAGAGAAGATATTGAATCTTCCTTTGGATTATACTGAAGAAAATTTCAGATAATCAAATAACTGTGCTGCCAATGCAATCTCCCAGAATGGACATTGTTTAGCTATTAGTCAGGTTAGTCCATGAGGGAAAATTCCTGGAACTTTTTTCCATAACTGCTCTATCTCCTTGACTTAACTTTAGCTTTCTGTGACTACTGAGGAGGCTACAACCTTCAATTCTATAAAATCATTCCCTATGAGTAGGGTAAATTACAGACAAATCCTGCAGTTACTGTTCCAGACATCATTCCGCACCTTAGGTGCACCTGATATAACGGTACAGGTACATATTCCCTGCTGATTTGTTACCCATTTACTAAAACTTTGGCATCCAATGTGTTCTCTGGCAGATTTGGCAGGCCTTTCCCCAACAAAGGTTTCCGTGGCTCCTGTTTCTCTAAATGTGACTATAGGTTTAATGCCTCATTCAAGGATTAAAGAGTTACATTTCCCATCAAAAGAATTCCCTGCAATCTGAATGAGGATGTCCACTTTTCACAATGGAAACACTTAGGCCTTTGGCCATTATTTCCACCTTCAGCATTTGCCTTTCAGACCTTAAGGGGAGATCTTGAGTCTTCCTAGCTGTCCCATCTTATCGATATCTACTTGTTTTTCTTTGACTCTTCCACATTCTATCTTTCTCAGGTTTGTAAGGGTGATGGAGAAAAAGTTTAGATTTTTGGATCAGTTCGTAATCATCAGCTATATTAGCTGGATCAGCCCAACCCTGCTGCAAATGTATGAAAGTAAGCTTCTCAAAATCTGTGTAAGTCTACCCAAGCTGCTTCCAGATATTTTGAAATTTCTGCCTGTAAGCCTCAGGCACCAACTCATTCACACTGAGAATTGCCTTTCTACCACTTCATTACCTATGGAAGTCTCTTCAGAAAGCAGGATATAAATTTTGTGCGCTCTTCCTGTCAGCCTGCATGCATAAGCAATGTACAGTTTTCTTGAAGCCACCTCATCTGCTTAGCTATTTTTAACTAAGAAGTAAAAAAATGTGTTTGTAAATCATTCAGGGATAAATCTTCCACTTGCAGAAAAGTCTTAGCAACAGCTGAAACCATTCTGATATTATAATAATGCACAAGAAAATTGATATATTTCCTTTCAGCATTTTCCAATTATTAGCACCACCCTTCCAATGAAACATGTCCTTGACCTGCTGCAAACCTCCACTTTGATGTTTTGACCAAGACTGAAGGAGTGTGCTGTTACTTTTAACAGTTAGCATAATAGCCAATTAAATACCCTATCTATAGCTATAAATAGATCAACTAGACTTCTTACTAAACATAATTATGGACTTATTATCAAAACAAAACTTATTCAATAAAGGTTACTATTGGTTATTATAGACAATAATATTGAAGTATTCCTAAAACTATCCACAAAACACACATGCACAGAATTTGGGAAACAAGAAAACAAAACAGATTTCTTTGCAGAGATTAGATTTATTAGCTTTTTTCCCTAGGGTGGAGGTAGCTATTACGAGGGGGCATAGTTTTAAAGTGAGTGGAGGTAGATATAGGGGAGACATCAGAGGTAGGTTCTTTACTCAGAGTGTGGTAGGGGTGTGGAATGCATTGTCGAAGAGGTTAGTGGAGTCGGCCTCATTAGGGGCATTTAAGTGGCTATTACATAGGCATACTGATGATGGTATAAGGCAGGGGTGGAGGTTAGATAGATCTTAGGTTTAGGGTAAAAGTTTGGCACAACATCGTGGGCCGAAGGGCCTGTACTGTGCTGTACTGTTCTATGTTCTATGTTCTATGAAAACAAAACACCTTGCCAATGGACAATTCTTAAAAGGTTAAAGTGTAGAATGTCCCTGTGATGTTTGGTCAAGTCACTAATCACACACTGTTGTTCTGCATCTTACAGATGCAACATGCTCAGAAATATAATCTTAAGGTGTTATTTCAACTACACTTCCAAGAAAATAAATAAGTTTCACCACGAAATAATGCAGATTTTTCAGAAATGGGGGTGATCAGCCAAGCACCTTTTACATCACAAGCTTTATTCCAGCCCAGTTTAATCTTAGCAGGCTTTCCTCCAACTGAACCAGATAAAACAAGAACACCTTCAAGCCAGTCTCTGTTGAAAACACCATCCCAGTTGGGTCTACAGCAAAACAGTCATGTAATTTCCAGGAAATTTTGTTAAAGAGCCGTCTAATGTACACAGTGAACTTTCAATGACCTCCTTTAAAGAATCCACACTAGGCACATCCACAAAACATAAAACAGATGCCCTTTTCCAAAAATCCCTAAAAACTTAAGTCTTCCAAGCATCGTGAGCTGCAATTCATTTTTAAAATACTCTCTATCCACCTAGAAGGTTGTCTGTCAAAAAGCCCTAATAGATTAGTTAAATATGATTGCCCTTCTGCAACTCTATTTATGATTGAAAATTATAAATAGTTTGAATGGGAGAAGATTGGGTTGAGGACTTGGTGTTTTAAATTTAAGTAAGGACAACTGTGTGGGCATGAAAGCTGAACTGGAAACCCGACTGCGAACTGGGAAACTATGCTAAAAGATAGATAAATAGAAAAGCAGTGATTAACATGTAAGGGTACAATTCAGAATATTCAGAATAAGTGTAGTATAAACATAATTTAAAAGGAAAGGACCCACTCTTTATAGTTAACATCCATAGCTAACTACAGCATCAAACTTACAGAAAAAGCATATCCTCGTGCAAGAATAAACGGTGGGTCAGATGATTTGATTTTTTTTTCCTTTATTCATTAATGGGATGAGGGCGTCGCTGGCCAGGCAGCATTTATTGCCCATCCCTAATTGCCTAGAGGGCAGTTATCAGTCAACCACATTGCTGTGGGTCTGGAGTCACATGTAGGTCCCCAGAACATTATCTGGGTCTCTGGATTAACAGTCCAGCAATAATACCACTAGGCCATTGCCTCCTCACATATTATATAAAGAATGGCAGACAACGACTAAAAGGTTAATCAGGAGGAAGAAATTACAGTATGAGAGGACTGGAGGCCTGTGACTAGTGGTGTAATACAGGGGTCAGTGCTGGGACCTTTGTTATTTGTTATTTACATAAGTGATCTGGATATGAATGTACAAGGCATGATTGGCAAATTTGCGGATGATGCAAAATTAGGAGGTATCGTTGATAGCAAAGAAGGTTATCAAAAATTACAGAGGGATCTTGAGCAATACAGATAACTATGAGGTGTTGCACTTTGGAAAGTCAAACCAAGGTAGGACTTATACAGTAAACGGGAAGGTCCTGAGCAGTGTTGTGGAACAGAGGGACCTAGGAGTACAAGTACATTGTTCATTGAAAGCGGTGTCACAGGTGGACAGGGTGATGAAGAAGGCATTTAGCATACTGGCTTTCATCAGTCAAGGCATTGAGTTTAGGAGTTGGTTCGTTATGTTACAGTTGTATAAGTAATTGGTGAGGCCACACATGGAGTATTGTGTACAGTTTTGGTCACCATGTTATAGGAAGGACATAGTTAAAACTGGAAAGTGTGCAAAGAAGATTTACGAGGATATAGCCAGGACAAGTAGGCCTGAGTTATAGGGAGAGGTTGGCCAGGATAGGACTTTATTCCTTGGAATGTAGCAGAATGAGGGGTGACCTTATTGAGGTGTATAAAATTATGAGGGGCATAGATAGGATGATTTTTTTTTCTTTATTCATTCATGGGATGAGGGTATCACTGGCTAGGCCAGCATTTAATTGCCTACAGGGCAGTAATGAGTCAACCACATTGCTGTGGGTCTGGAGTCACACGTAGACCAGACCAGGTAAGGATGGCAGTTTCCTTCCCTAAACGAAATGAGTGAACCAGATGGGTATTTCCAACAACCGACAATGCATTCATGGTCATCATTAGACTCTTAATTCCTGATATTTATCAAATTCACATTCCACCAGGTGCCATGGTGGGATTCGAATCCAGGTCCCCAAAACATTATCTGGGTCTTGGATTAACAGTCCAGTGATAATACCACTAGCCATCGCCTCCCCTATGAATGCATGTAGTCTTTTTCCCTGGGATTGGGAATTGAAAACGAGAGAACATAGGTTTAAGATGAGAGGGGATAGATTTAAAAAGGACCTGAGGGACAACTTCTTCACGCAGAGGGTGGTGTGTATATGAATGGGCTGCCAGAGAAAGTGGTTGCGTCAGGTACAATAGCAACATTTAAAAAACATTTGGATAGGTACATGGATGGGAAGGGTTTAGAGGGATAAGGACCAAATGAGGGCAATTGCAACTAGCTGAGTGAGCACCATGGTCAGCATGGACCAGTTTGGGCCGAAGGGCCTGTTACCATGCTGTAATACTCTATGACTCCATATTAGCATGGAGCAAAATTTGGCTGGCTGAAAAGAGAGTGCATGCATAAATTGGTCCTTTTCTAATCGATAGAGTGTGATGAGTGGAGTCCCACAGGTGCTGGCAGACCTGCTGAGTTTTTCCAGCATCCACAATTCTTTGCTTATTTTGTCCACCAGAATCTGGGACTTGTTAACTCATAGCTCCAATAGCTTTTACAATTTATACAATTTTGCTCAAAAGAGAAATCAATAGGTTTCTGGAGACTAATTATAGAAAGGGATATGGAGATGGTGCAGGCAAAAGGCACTGAGGAAATGATCAGCAATAATGTAGAATGGAGCAGGAAAGCTGACGTTTCAGGTTGGGACCCTTCTTCAGAAATGGGGGAGGGGGAAGGGAACTGGGAAATAAATAGAGAGGAGGGGTGGGGCTGGGGAAGGCAGGTGGGCTGGTGGTAAGTGAGTGCAGGGAGTGGTGGGGATTGGGCAACACCTTCCAGTCACAAACCACTTCAACTCCCCTTCCCACTCCCTGGACGACATGTCCATCCTGGGCCTCCTCCAGTGTCACAACGATGCCACCAGGAAACCGGAGGAGCAGCACCTCATGTTCCACTTTGGGAGCTACAACCCAGTGGTCTCAATGTGGACTTTACTGGTTTGAAAATCTCCCCAACTCCGGCCTCATCCCATGACCAACCCTCCCTCTCATCCCCGCCTCCTTGACCGGTCAGTCTTCTCTCCCACCTATGTGATCCTCCTACCTCACTGACAATCCCCATCACTGCCTACCTGCACTCACTTATCACCATCTCACCTACTTTCCTCAGCCCCACTCCTCCTCTCTCTATTTATTTCTGAGCTGTCTTCACCCTTCCCCCATTTCTGAAGAAGGGTCCCGACCTGAAACGTCAGCTTTCCTGCTCCTCTGATGCTGCCTGGCCTGCTGTGTTCCTCCAGCTCCACACTGTGTTATCTCTGACTCCAGCATCTGCAGTTCTTACTATCTCTGAATAATGTAGAATGTTTAGGTAGGCTCAATGAGCTATATAACCTCATTGTTCCCTTGTTTTAATCAATGATGTAAATGAGGGGAGCAAAGGCTTCTGTTGCTAAGTTTACAGATGACACAAAGATAGATAGGAAAGTGAAGAGGACATAATAAGGATGCACACAGATATAGATAGATTGAGTGAGTGTGTAAAAACAAATGGAGGTGATATGTGGGAAAATGTGAAATTGTTCACTTTAGTCGGAAGAATAAAAAAGCAGACTATTATCTGAATGGAGATAGACCACAGAATTCCAAAGTGCGGAGGGATAAGGATGTTCTAGTGCATAGTTACGAATATTACTATGCAGGAACAACTTGAAATTAAGAAAACTAATCAGATGCTATTCTTTGTTATGAGAGGAATCAGACATAGAAGTTACAATCAAAAACAGAAATTGCTGGAAAAGCTCAGCAGGTCTGGACCTGAAACATTAACTCTGATTTTTCTTCACTGATGCTGTCAGACCTGCTGAGCTTTTCCAGCAACTTCTGTTTTTGTTCCTGATTTATAGCATCTGCAGTTCTTTCGGTTTTTATACAGAATTTATGCTTCAGTTATTTGGGCAATCATGGAACAGTATGAAATAGAATGATGGTTTGGTGAAGTTCGTTTACCTGAAACGTTGCTATGGCTTTCTTGATTGGTGTGGTCACTTGCTCATCTGTCCTACTGACTTCCTCTTCTATCTCATCAAATGTTGGCATATTAAGATAAGTAACATCTGTGAAAATCAGAACAGAATGAATGCCGATAGTTAGCTCACTAAATCTCTGAATAATATTCCTAATTTCAGGTTTGAGAAATGAATTTTTGACTAGAATTTTATATCTAGATTTCCTTGTAAAAGTGGAGCTACTGTGTTCAACAAACTCATCCCTTTCATAGAGAAGCAAGTCATAAAATCGAAATAAAAACAGAAATTGCTGGAGAAACTCTATGGAGCATCTGTGGAGAGAAAGCAGAGTTAATGGTTCAAGTCCAATAACCCTTCTTCTGAACTACTGCAGTTAGGAAGAGGTTAGTATTTATAGCTAAAGATGGGGGGGGGGGGGGGTAAAGGAATAAATGACAGGTAGAGAGGGAGCACACAGAAAGAGTACAGCAGTTGGGCAGTCAAAAGGGTAGATAATTGTGAGTCAAGAGTAAGAAAAGCTGATAATAGGGACAATTAGTGGGTGAAAATGGGTTGGCTGTGATGAAGGCAACACATGTGATGACAGGGTTGTGGGTGGATAAAGAACATGAAAGGAGATATTCAGGCCCTAAAATTATTTAACTTGATAGTGAGTCCTGAAGATTGCAATGTCACCAAGCAGAAAACAAGATGTTTTTCCTCCTGCTAACATTGAGCCCAGCACAAGCTGGAAGAACAACATGTCATATTTGGTGGTAAGCTTTCTGATTGAACCACTGCAGTCCTTGTGCTGTAGCTAGATCACAATGCCATTAGAGAAGCATTGAGGTAACTGAGGAAGTACCAAAGCACAACTTGCCTGTATCTCTTGGGCTGTCTGATGGACTTCTATTCCCTCTCTGCTGCTTGACCTTAACATATGGTGTGACCACCTCTCTGAATTCATTATACATGTATTTCTCTGCCTCACAGATGCACCTCATTGACACTATCCACTGGTCGAGCTCTGAAACTTGGAGCCATAAGACCATAAGAAATAGGAACTGGAACAGGTTGTTCAGCTGTCCAAGCTTGCTCTGCCATTCAATAGGATCGTGGCTGATTCAACACTCTGCACATCCACTTTCCTGCCCTTTCCCTATAACTTATGATTCCCCTTCTGATCAAGATTCTATCTATCTGAGCCTTAAATATACAAAAGCTGTCTGTGGCAAGGAATTCCAAAGACTCTCAACCTCTGAGAGAAGAAATTCCTCCTCATCTCCGTCTTAACTTGCACAACTTAATTCTGAGACTGTACCCTTTGAGTAATTCTGAGACTCTTCCATGAGGGGAAACATCCTCTCAGCATTTACCCTTTCATGTCCCTCAAGAATCCTACATGTTTCAATGTGATACTTCCTGTATAAAAGCTTGAGGTCTTGAGAAGTCTTTACAGCTCCCCTCATGTCCTCTCCCTTGATCAAGCTTCCCTGTCATACCTTAGCTCATATTTTTTACATTATTTTACTTACGTTAACTTTTCTCTAGTACTATTAACTATATTCTGGAGATTAGTAGAAACTAACAAGTCTTTGCCTTCACTCACCAATCACGTATGCTAGGTTCAAAATTTATGTTTTTAAAAAATTCTGGAGTTGAAGCGCAGTCTCTAAGAACACCTGCTCAACAACTAAGTAAAAGTGGCTGCCCAATTCTCTCAATTTCTACTGTGTGTGAGTGTGTTGCGTGCTGTGTGTGTTGTGTGCACATGTGTGTGTAGTGTGTGTGGGTGGGTGGGAAAGGAGGCAGGCTTGGGGGTGGAGAAGTGGAGACCTGAAAAGCATGCCTATTGGAGTGACAAAATGGATGGAAAACATAACTTCAGGCTTCAGGACTGGGTCAAGCTTGTAACTAGTGCAGAAGGATGTAGGCCCAGCTATCTGCAATCTGCATCAAATAGTCAGATGAAGGAAATGAATTCAATTCATTTATTTGCTGTCAATACAAAGCTAGGTGCCAAGGTTCAAGAGTAAAGAGGGGGATGTGAAAAGGTTACAAAAAGGGACCTAGACAGATTAATAATTGGGCAAGAAGTTGGTAGATGGAGTACAACACTTCATGCGGCAGGTTGTGAGTCTTTGGAATTCTCTACCTCAGTCAGCTGTGAATGCTCAGTATTTGAGTGTTTTCAAGTCAGAGATTGACAGATGTTTGGATACTAAGGGAATCGATGACAAATGGGATAGTGTGGGAATGTGAAATTGATGCAGTTTATCAACCAGAATCTGACTGAATGACGAAGCAGGTTCAAGGGACTGAATGGCCTACTCCTGTTGCTTGATAATAACTTGCCATGTTCATTAGCTTCTTCTTCATCTTTATGTTCTTTTTCCTGAAAAAAACAGAGAAATTCCTGATATTATTCTGTTTGTATTCTATCTATATCTTTCAACAATCATGGAATTGTAAGTTTACACCGCTTACTCCCTACCCCACCCATCTCCCTATTTTCTGCATATAAACTGACGTTATCCCAGCCACCGTCAGTTCTGAGGAAGGGTCACCGGACCCGAAATGTTAACTCTGTTTTCTCCTCCACAGATGCTGCCAGACCTGCTGAGCTTTTCCAGCAACTTTGTTTTTGTTCCTGATTTACAGCATCCGCAGTTCTTTTGGTTTTTATGGAATTGTAAGTATTCCTCCATGGTCTGTACTGTCTTTTTAACTTCACTCTTTATATTGAAATTTTGCACCGCAGGCTAGCAATCTCAGGTTTTTTTTTCAATGCATGTACATCACTGCGAAGGGCACAAACCTACTGGATGATAACATTTCCTTTTCCCACCCTTGCTGAATGACCTGTGAAGGGTTTAATGACAAATTCAAACATAAACCAAGAGTCTAAAGACACAGCATCTACTGATTGGACAAAGGAACTGCATATCCAAAAGGCCAAAGCCTGAAATGTCAGAAAAGTCTTTGTGTAAATGGAGGAGTTCATCAAGAAAAAGAGATGTGCAGGAATCTTGTGAAACCAGGGGCAATTATAACAGCTTTGAAAGAGATGTAGTGGATGCCTGAGAAGAGGGAACCACTTACAGCATCAGCTATGAAGAGGAGCAAGTAAACAGTAAATGGTAAAAGAATTGAGGGTGTTTTAGCTCAGTCTCATTGAGTGATGATGATTGGATGTGGTGAATATGCTGCTAATTACGCTCTAACACTCCTTGAGTTGCTCCATTAGTGTAAATGTTTTGATTCAGTCACCAAAGTGGCCATCTGTCTCTCATTTGTATTGTTATTCAAATAAAAATTGCTTTCACCAAGTTTCTTCAATGAAGTCAAAAGTAATCAATTTATGAGAAAACAGAAGTCATTTCTAAAAATGAGTGGCAAATTGATTAACATCTAAACTAAAATCTGGAATTAGAACTATATACCCTTTCAATCCCAACACAAACACACTCATACAATACAAGGAACAGCAACTCTCTGCAGAGATAACATCTTAAAGAAAGAGAAAAAGGAAAAGAAATCAGTTATTGGTCAACGGTCTGAAAAACAAAAAACGAAATTCTCATAATCCGCCAGGTTTCTTATCAATGAAACCAAACTGCTGACAGATACAGACTGAAAAAAGATTTCCAAGAGAGCTTTAGTTCAGATGGAAATCAGGTTGACTGCAAATCTTTTGAAAGTGGTCAGTTCAGCTATTTGTGGTGTACAACACACAAAATACTGGGATGTGGAAATTTTATCAGGCTCCCATTTATTTAAAATAAGTGACACAGAGAGAAAGAAAGTCTTGCAGGTTTACTACAAGTTTCAGAGTTTTTCTTCCTACTGATTCCTTTCTTCAATTCAAAAACCAAGACCAGAAAGAGTTGTCAGGCAACCATCAGCAAAAGGAACCATAGTATCTTCCAAAGTCCTGGTTTCCAGCAAATAAGGGGAATAAACATTATTTCTTTAAAAGAGACAACAAGGTGCAGGGCTGGATGAACACAGCAGGCCAAGCAGCATCATAGGTGCATCTGCAGTTCCTACTATCTCTGATTCATTATTTCTTTAAAAGCTTTGTTTGCCTGCTTTTTCAAAAATCACTTGACTTTCTGCAATTAGCAAGTGGACCACAACCAACATTAAACTCTTCCGTACCTACACTGGCCCTAAACCCCACCTCTTCCTCCGTTACATTGATGACTGTATCGGCGCCACCTCGTGCTCCCAGGAGGAGCTTGAACAGTTCATCCACTTCACCAACACCTTCCACCCCAACCTTAAGTTCACCTGGACCATCTCTAATACCTCTCTCTCCTTCCTGGACCTCTCTGTCTCCATCTCGGGCAACCACCTAGAAACCGATATCCATTTCGAGCCCACCGACTCCCGCAGCTACCTAGAATACACCTCCTCCCACCCACCTTCCTGCAAAAATGCCATCCCCTATTCCCAATTCCTTCGCCTCTGCCGCATCTGCTCCCAGGATGAGGCATTCCACTCCCATACATCTCAGATGTCCTCGTTTTTCAAAGACCGCAACTTCCCCCCCTCAGTGGTCGAGAACGCCCTCAACCATGTCTCCCACATTTCCCGCAACTCATCCCTCACACCCCGTCCCCGCAATAACAACCAAAAAAGAATCCCCCTCATCCTCACATACCACCCCACCAACCTCCGGATCCAACGCATAATCCTCCGACACTTCCGCCATCTGCAATCCGACCCCACCACCAAAGACATCTTTCCCTCCCCACCCTTATCTGCTTTCCGGAGGGACCACTCTCTCCGTGACTCCCTTGTCTGCTCCACACTCCCCTCCAGCCCCACCACACCCGGCACTTTTCCCTGCAACCGCAGGAAGTGCTACACCTGCCCCCATACCTCCTCCCTCAACCCCATCCCAGGCCCCAAGAAGACTTTCCACATCAAGCAGATGTTCACCTGCACATCTGCCAATGTGGTATACTGCATCCGCTGTACCCGTTGTGGCCTCCTCTACATCGGGGAAACCAAGCGGAGGCTCGGGGACCGCTTTGCAGAACACCTATGCTCGGTTCGCAATAAACAACTGCACCTCCCAGTCGCGAACCATTTCAACTCCTCCTCCCATTCCTCAGACGACATGTCCATCCTGGGCCTCCTGCAGTGCCACAACGATGCCACCCGAAGGTTGCAGGAACAGCAACTCATATTCTGCTTGGGAGCCCTGCAGCCCAATGGTATCAATGTGGATTTCACAAGCTTCAAAATCTCCCCTCCCCCTACCGCATCCCAAAACCAGCCCAGCTCGTCCCCGCCTCCCTAACCTGTTCTTCTTCCCACCTATCCCCTCCTCCCACCTCAAGCCCCACCCCCATCTCTTACCTACTAACCTCATCCCGCCCCCTTGACATGTCCGTCCTCCCTGGACTGACCTATCCCCTCCCTAACTCCCCACCTACACTCACCTTTACTGGCTCCATCCCCACCTCTTTGACCTGTCTGTTTCCTCTCCATCTTCTCCTCTATCCATCTTCTATCCGCCTCCCCCTCTCTCCCTATTTATTTCAGAACCCCCTTCCCCTCCCCCATTTCTGATGAAGGGTCTAGGCCCGAAAAGTCAGCCTTTTTGCTCCTATGATGCTGCTTGGCCTGCTGTGTTCATCCAGCTCTGCACCTTGTTGTCTCTTAAACTCTTGGCTTCATTTTGGGGAAAAGCCCTAATAACCCAGAAAGTGACCAAACATAAATTCCAGTCCATAATACAGGTATGTAATCTCAATTTACCCCCATCCAATGGATATGAAACACATCTTTTCTTCCAAATGCATTTCATTGTGATGTAGATATGAAAACATAAACAATGCAAAAACACAAAAAATGTATGCTGAGATTCATTCAGCCTTGTTCACTCATTATACAAAATCCATAGTTTCTTGTCACCTCTTTAATCTCCCATGATTCTAACATTACTTCATTCTTGATAATGCATCAGCAATACAATCGTTCCCAAAATATGAATAAACTTTATGTTATAAGGCTAAATTAACAGACTTCACTGTTAATGTAACGCCAAACAGCGTAGCATTTTGCCTCTTAAAATGTTTCTACAAAGGCCAAAGGATGATGGTTATTCCTTTGCACACATAATGGAAAAAAAACTGTAAAATATTTAAAAGCCAATAATAACATGGTTTCTATTTTTAGGATGGAATATTCCTTTTGATGCTGATTTAATGTCTTAGAAAATACCAAACTGGTTTACTTATGCCTGATCATCTTCTTTCAATAAGACTGCTCCCACCCCAAGTCAATAGCATCAATCACCAATCTTAAGGCTTTAGTGAAGTCAAGGATAGCCAACACCGGCTCTTTTTTTAGGAATGTCTTCAGATTCTCAAAAGCTTTTTTGTCTTGACCAATAAGTTGCTTTGACAATAAATCAGTTGGGGGAGCAGCTATTTCACTGACATTTGGCACAAAATTCAATAGAAGCCACACATCCCCAAAACTGTCACGTTTCCCCATTTAGTTTTACAAACAGGAAAAGGGAATTCTATCAAAGTCTTTTGTTGTTGTTGCCAACAAATGCCCTTGCCCTACGATAAGTCCCAGCCGAGTTACCTATGCTTTCATGAACTCATTCTTGGTAAGATTTACCCATACATCACTGAACAGCAACTGTTTACATACAGCTTCCAATGCTGTTATATGTTCTTCCCAGATGAGGCTGTACATTAATGCATCAGTCAAGTATACCATAAAATTAGGACCACTACTTACAACTTCGTTCATAAGTCTTTGGAAAATAGCAAGACCATTTTTAAAACTGAATGGCATGATTCAACATTGATATAATTCATTTGGTCTAATCAATGCTGATCTCTCCTTAGCTCTCAATATCAATGGCACTTGCCATTATCCCTTCAATAAATTATGCTTCAGTAAGAAACAAGGCACTGCTCACCCTATTGATACAATTTTCTAATGAGGAATTGGGTATGAATCTGTTTTTGTTATTGCATTCACTTCCCTCTAATCTATGCAGGATCAAGTCAATCCATTAGGATTAGGAACTAATACTACGGAGAAGTGCTGCCTGCTTTGATAAGGTTCAATCAAGTGATTTTCAAACAAATATTGAAATCCTGCTTTTACCCAAGGCTGTTGCTCTGGAGTTAAACAGTAAGAGTGAAGTTATTTTATCAGTTCAGATCTCCCTACATTTACATCACACCCAGCTAAAGTTGTGCACCTGGTTTGCCTTTACAGAATTCCTTAAATTCCTAAATAATCTTGGTAGTTCTTCCTGTTGTCCTTTCTCTACCCATACAAATGTAAAGTTGGCATAGTCTTACTGGATCACAGGGATGCACTCTCATTAAAGAGAGAGATAATTGGTAGTGGATT